AAAAAAAAAAACCTGCCTTGAAACCAAATGGTAAGTATGGTGATTAAGAGGGTGAATTACAAAACAGTTTCAATATATCTTTAAAATAAAGTGATAATGTTTAGCTAAATATAGAAAATGGATGAAAAGGCTTAAAAACGGGTTTAGTGGTTCAATTTTCCTTAGGATAGAAATATTCTTCATAGCATCTATAGTATAATTTTACAAACATAGGGTATTAGCATTATACTTGGATCAACAAACTTAAAACACTGACAAACTTCTTCATGACAAACATGTCCTATATAGAATAACTTCTTCTTGACAAACATGTCCTACATAGAATAGCTATGAAATAAACTCACTTTTAACACACTGAAATCCCCTTCAGAGGCATAGGGTGGCAAAAGAAACAAAACTCTTTATTTCACGAGTCATTGTCTCATTGGTGAAGTAATGGCTTAAAAATAAAAATCCCGAGACATGATTTTGTTTTAGTTTTACTTTTAGTGATGAACAGTTAAAAACAAAGTATCTTCAGTTATTACTTTTATCAGTTATCTCATCTATAAAAATTTGATTATACAATTTGTCAAAAAAAACCCTATCTACTTGAACTCACTGTTTGATTCTGTTACTATCAACTGTATGCAAAATCAATTGTGCCCAACTTTCTGAGTGCATCTCAAGACAATTTCTCTGGAGAAAAATGTACTCTCTGTGAGACAGTGAATTGTACACATTTGTGCTGCTTATTTACTCCAAAGTTTCTCAGAGGCAGGTATATTCAATGTATGCAGTGTTTGGCTTATGTTTGTTATGTTGTCAATGGTAAGAAAAGAAAAAAGTTCATTCTTTTAATTCATTAATAAATGCCTATCACAATATTACAGAGAGTAAAATGCCTTTTAGGAAAATATGCTTCTGGAGAAGAATTTATTACAACAATAATTGTATCTTACCTTGAGAAACAAGCAAAGCAAAGGTGGTAAGAATGTTAAAAATGTTTAGAAATCATTTACTTTTGGTATAAAAGATCGAACTCATCCTTTTTCTTTTGTTTTAGTGAAAATACACTGAGCAAAATTAAGCACTTGAACAAATCAGATCCCCAGTTAGAAAGAATCAGCTTTAGCCACAAATAAGACAAATAGGAATGCAACTTTATTTTTGAGGAGAAATGGACCAGTGTTGACAGATTCCTACTTATAGAAAAAGGAATTAAGAGAACGACATTCACAGGAGAGCTAACATTTGGGAATTGTTCATTGGGAAATAAACAATGGTCTGTAGCTGGTACTGTAAGGGTGCATACCCTGCTAAATGAGATGGTGCTTTATCATCAAACTTGACCCATCATCTTTCTTTGTGAATAAGACACTGACTTCAAAAAACCAAGAATCATCTGACCATTTTCCACGAGGAGTCAATTAATACTACATCTGCACCAACCTCTTCTATGCTAAGGAAGAATATTCATTCCATAGGAATGGACATAGACAGCTATTTTTAACTTTTTCCTCTCTGCATTTCCTGTTTCTAAGGTCTCTCCTTCAAGATCCTAGGTGACATGAGTATGTAGTTTGGTTCAACTAACTGGGTAGATTACAGAAGCAGAAATAGAAGAGACCTAGACTTCAGTAGGGATAGCATACTCGACCGCCTTACAAGGCTAAGTAGAAATAAGTGACCACAGAGTAATTCTGGGTTTCACATGACACTAGCCAGCAAGCGTAAGTAACTTTCACTATATGAACTTGAAGTATGCCTTTACGAATGCTTCAAATGGTTAAACTTCTTGTGTGTCATATGTGACTGGCCATAAATCTCTTTGGGAAATAGCTGTCACTCAGGTCTTGCCTGGTCCTGAGTAGGGACTTAGTCCAGGATAGGGACTTTCTTGTAATGCTCTAGTCAACTGGGGCCAGTGTGGGTAACACAGTTCCACATAGATCGGTCTCAACAGGCTCACATAGGAATGCTTCTCATAAGAATGAGAGAAGTAAAAGCAGATCATATTCAGAAATGAAGTTCAAACATCCAATGAACGCTTTCTTGATGTTGTGGCTGTGTCTTTCTATCAACCTTCCCAGGCGCCTCTGTTTCTGCCTAACTCTTGCTTGTTAACTTTTTCTCTCATTGCGAATACTTATGTTTTTCTGTCCCTTCAACTTCTACCTAATTGGTGATTAATTCCACAGACTTTACTCCTCTAGTTGTCCCCTCCCTGGATTATTTTTATTAGACTTTATGATCTCTACTTCACTACTATCTTAACCATTTTCCTCATCCAATCCTTTAACTCAAACCTTGTGTATGTAGGACTTAATAAATACTGCTCAATATTCATCAGACTATTGGAAAAATGCACTTGATATAAAATGCAAAACTCCAAAGTAATACTTATTTAAGGCCTTACTTTCTTCAACTTTTTATTCTCATGGTACCTTTTGGTGCTTAATCCCCTCTAGACAAACCTGTCCCATCGGAAGTAGGCTGATGCCAAGTGGCTTTTTCCTCTAACACAATATCCATATTACTTGGGTGCCCAATCCAAGAGTAAGTATTCCTAAGCTGGCTGGTGGCTTATGATGGACTCTGGCTCAAAAGATACAGCCTGAAAATGGGTTAATGGTCGTTTATTTTTCAGTAGGTAACCAGGAATAAATAGATGGATATAGCTAACTCATGTTAACAATCTGTGGTCATACAAATCAAGTTGCCTTTGGTATTGGGGGAAAAAAAGGGACTGGAAGTGAATGCAGATAGCCTGAAGGTACACTGTGGAATAAAAGAATGTTCCATATCTTGATAGGGATGTATGTTAATGAATATGTATTTGTCAAAATTTAGAAGACGGTATATGTATAATTTGTTGAACCTGAGTGGCATCTCAATAATGCATGGGCATATTGTAACAAGACACCCATGTAAATAAACTGCTGTTTTAATCAGTTTTTAAAACAATGCATCTGGCCTATTTGCCAAAAATAAGAAAGTGTGATTATTCTTATTTGCAACAGTGTAAGAATATTTTACCAGATGTATCTTGAGACCTACATCTTCTCCTTTTTTCTTTGCAATAGCACATAACTTAGGGCATATATTTAATAAAATGCTCATTTCTTAACTTTATATTACTGCCTATTCATTATTAAATCATCATTTTTTTATTTATTTGACAATGGTTTATCCAGTCAATAAGCATTCATTATCCTCCTCGATATTTCATTGGAAACTTCTTTGAGGCTCTTTTCTTCCTAAGAGGAGGAAGAATTCGATCTTAGAAATTTTCATACTGAGAGATTTATGGAGACAGATCAGGCTACAAAATAATGTTTTAATTTAGAACACTGAGACTTTTTAAACCAGTCGCTTCAAAGTAGACCTTTTCTTCTCACTTCAAAGCAGTGTTAATAAGGGATGTATCGAAGCAAGTTGGGAGCAGTAATAGGCATGTTTTCAAATGGCATCTTTAATTCCTGCATATGACTTTTTTCAGCCATTGGAAGAATTATCACAATACTAAGTTATAACTCAATAGGCATTTGCATTGGCGATCTTAATGTAGACCTTTAAAAAACAATGAATAATCATTTCTCCTTTCCTCTTTGCATGTAGTAAATCACTAACTATATTTGGATGACTGGTCATGGTGGGGAAATAGTCACATGATATAATAATAAAAAATTTATATCATTGCAAGGCAAAAATAGCTTTTAATACTGCTTTCTTATTCTATAACAATTTAAAATGAGGCTATATATTGTTCTCCAGAGTATTCGTGCATGACATCAGTCTTTAGGTTATTAGCAGCATATGTTATTAGCTGTTAAGATGGTGATACTAGGGTTGCCCAAATGTCAGAATGAGATTGGTTATATGAACGTACCTTTCTAATAAGTTGGGTCTAGTCTGACCTCTGGGGTTTTGTAAGTTTAAGTAGAAAAATAATGCCCTTTGGCATTTTTTAAATTTAGGTGAAACAACCTTTTAATTTGAATTGAACTACAGAGAGAGGGCCAGTAAACATGAGGGCTCAGGTCACTGGAGGTATATGGCTCACCCTTGCCAGTGCTAAATAACCTATATATAAAATAGTATGAAAGTGGGGGCACCTGAGTGGCTCAACTAGTTGAGCAACTGCCTTTGGCTCAGGTCATGATCTCAGGGTCCTGGGATCCTGCCTCTGTCAGGCTGCCTGCTCAGCAGAGAGTCTGCTTCTCCCTCTCTTTCCATTCCTGCACTCCGCTGCACACTCTCTCTCAAATAAATAAATAAAATCTTTTTTAAAAATTAAAAAAAATACTACCAGTTGCTCTAGTTTTCCTTCTTCTATAAAAACTCAGAAAGATGTGTTTACCCCAGTTTTAGTACTTTTTTATACTGGACTGTAATTACCTATTTTTGTTTTTCTTTTCTCAGATTTTTACACTTTTACACTCACTGAGGTCAGTGTCAGCCTCTCATTTTAATCTAATGGCCCCAAATGCATGTCCTTTGTTGGCCTTCCTAAAGGACTATACATGAAATTATGAAGCATTCTAATTACTTCCCATTTAAACCATTACATATTACAATGTGTTGTTCAGAGCTCCAGGAGCCTGGGGTGTCCTGAGCTGTCTTGGGGTCCATGGAGGGGGGTGCTGTGGCAGTCTCTGCATCAATCAACAGAAGCTCTGTGTTTATCTTCCTCACACGTGGAGTTTCATGAGACATTTCAGATAAGAAGCATTTCTACTGATGGAACCTATTCAAACGCACTCCAGTAAATAATGTAGTAAGAGTTCTTGAAGTTTGGGGGAACCATAACTTAATTCTCCAAAATTAGCATTTTTACCCTTTGTATTAGTTTCCTATGGCCACCATAACAAATTACAACACTGGAGGCTAAAACAAACAAATTTCTTTTCTCACTGTCCTAGAGGCCAACAATCCAAAATTAGTTTCACTGAGCTAAAGTCAAGGTGGAAGGTAGCAGCAGGGCTCTTGCAGGGCAGGATCCATCCTTTTTTTTTTTTTTTTTAATGGAAAATTTCACAAATTTGCATGTCATCCTTGTGTAGGGGCCATGCTAATCTTGTCTGTATCGTTCCAATTTTAGCATATGTGCTACAAAGCCAGCACAGGGCAGGATCCATTCTTAGCCTCTTCCAGCTTCGGAGGCTCCATCATTTCTTGACTTGTAGTCACAACACTCCGATTTCTGCCTCCGTGATCACACTGCATCTTCCTTTTCTGGGTCTATATCACTCTGCCTTGCTCTTCCAAGAGCAATTGTGATTCTATAGAGGTCCACCTGGATAATCCAGAAACATCCTCCCTCTTTAAAATCCTTAACTAAATCATACCTGCAAAATCCCCTTTGGTGTGTACGGCAGCATTCACAAACTCCAGGAATTAGGATGAAGACATCTTTGGGTGCCATTGTTCAGCCTACAATATCCTCTAAAGCTAAGCAGAATATACTTAGGCAGTGGGAAGGGTTCACTGATGGCAGCAATGACAATGGTAAGAACAGTTGTAGGGATATTTGTAACAATAAAAAAATGCAGACATAGTTGCAGTGATAGCAATAATATAAGTAATAATAGTAGGCTATTGAGTACTGAAAATATGCCCCTTTCAAAAACCCTAAACATGTTTGTCACTTAATCTTCAAAACAGTCTTAGAAGATAGGTACTGCATTATTTTATCATTATCCTCATTGTCCAGATGAAAAGACAGGCTGAGGTCACTGAAGACCTTTCATAAAGTCATACTAAAGTACTAAAGCTGGGAAGAATGGGGATTTAAATACAAAAAAAAAAAAAAAAAGGACTTTGAAATCCAAACAATCTATTTATTACATCCTTCTGATACCAAAGGTGGCAAGAGTAGCAGATCTCCCAGGGTAATATGGACCGTATTATTTCTAACTATGAAAAGTAAATTTGACAGCTTTGATATATTAAAATCAAAATTTTTTGAGAGAACTGAGAGAAAGAGAGCACATGACGGAGGGGGGAAGCAGAGGGACAGGGAGAGGTTCCATGCTGAGTGGGGAGCCCAAGGTAGGACTCAATCTCATGACCCTGAGATCATGACCTGAGTTAAATTAAGAGTTGGTCGCTTAGCAGATTGCAACCCAGGTAACCCCTAAAATAAACTTTTGAGGGATGCCTGGTGGCTCAGCCGTTGGGCATCTGCCTTCGGCCAAGGGCGTGATCCTGGAGTCCCGGCATCCAGTCCCGTATCGTGCTCCCTGCATGAAGCCTGCTTCTCCTCTGTCTGTGTCTCTGTCTCTCTCTCTCTGTGTCTCTGTCTCTCATGAATAAATAAATAAAATCTTAAAAAAAATAAAGTTTTGAATGATAGATGATTCCATAAACAAAATTAAGCATAAGCAATAAACCATGGGGAAATATTTTCCTCAACATAAAGATTTAATATTTTTTATGCACAAAGAACTATGAATTAAGAAGAGAAAATAACAAATAACCAATAACCATTTAAGACACCACACTGAGGAGTGCCTGGGTGGCTCAGTGGGTTAAGCGTCTGTCTTCGGCTCAGGGTCCTGGGATGGAGCAGGGAGCCTGCTTCTCCCTCTCCCTCTGCTCACCACTCCCCTTGCTTCTGCTGTCTCTAAATATCAAATAATTTTTTTTTAAGTTTTTAAAAATCTTTAAATAAAGACAGGCATTACCTTGATATTATCCAGCAGATCTCTAGAACATACTCATCTTGCATGACTGAAACCGACCCTTGATTAGCAACCCCCTATTAACCCCTATTCCCAGCTCCTACTTTCTGTCACCATGATTTTGGCTACTCTAGGTATCTCGCAGAAGTGGAATCCTACAGTATTAGTCTTCTTGTGTCTGGCTTATATCACTTAGCATGATGTCCACAAGGTTCATCCATATTGTAACATGTGTCAGACTCTCCTTCCTTTTTAAGGTTTAATGATATTCTATTGCATGTAAGTACAAATATTGCTTATTCATTCATCTATTAATGGATACTTAGGTTACTTCCACATTTTGTCTTATGAATGACTCTGCAGTGAACATGAAAGTAAAAATATCTCTTAGAGATCCTGATCTCAATTCATTTGGATATATACTCAGAAATGAGATTGTAGAAATTGTATACTTAAAAAAGCAATTGTTAAGAGGGTAGATCTCATGGTAATTACTCTTACCACAATAATAATAATAATAATAATAATAATAATAATAATAAAAAGATAGTGCTTTGAGCACTTGCATCTATTGCTCCTCCGAACGTCTTATCAAAATTACTCAGAAAATACAAAAGGCAAATGAAACCAAGAATCTGAATAACAACGAAGAATGTATCTGTGAAAGATATGTCAAGAAATGAAAAGCATATGAGGCATTTTAACAGAGAGCATAGGGAATTTGTTATACAGGTGCTGGAAGGCAGAATGAGCTAAAGGGATTCTGAACTAATACAGTATTAGTAGCTGCAAGAAGCAGTTAAAAGTTCTAGGGCTCAGAACATAAAAAGGAAGAAGAGGTAGTTATCAAAACCTAGGAGATTGGAGAAGAAACAGCCTCTAGCTCCCACTTGATTGTTGGAGATGAATATAATTCAGCTAAAGCTCCACTCACCCAGGGGGACATGGCTTCCTGCCACCGGTTCTTTTGAGGGAAGAGGGGGAGCTGTGGCCGGGAGTAACTAGGATAGGTGGGAGCTCCAGCCCATAGCTGCCCTAGGGAGAATGCCTGGAGCTGAAAACAAAAAGCAAGTTCCTTCCTCCTTTTGCTTTTTACTCTCCTTCCCTTGCCCCATCTACAGAATCTCATGAGAAGTCAGTAGACTATGAAATGTGGAAAATGTAGCTTCAGAGTCCCATTGCCAATATTTACATTTAAAAAAAATTATGAAGGGTGGCTTTGCAACTGTGAGAAAATAGGTAATCAGGACAGTGATGAAAGTAGACAGGGAAATTTGAGGAACTTCTGAAAGATAATGTGGTAGATTATTACAAAAATGGCGCCAATCTTCCATTCTTTTTACCTACACCCCTTGCAATACGACTCTGCTCTCTGCTACCCTTCTCATCAAGGAGAGATGAGTCATCCCAGCCCCTGAGGCCATGCTTGACCAACCAGCCCTACCTTAATTCTGAACCTTGTCTCAAATGCTAGAGAGAAAAATAGAAAGCTATGCCCAGGAGTCATCTTACACTCTTCTTTACTTTGGCTCCTTGGTCTGCTGGTCAGCTCATGTCTATACAATCCAAAGGGAAGCCTATCTGTGAATGCCCTGTCCATTGCACACAGCCTGAAACTAATCTTCCCTTTTGGGGAAACAAAACCAGAAGAAACTATTATAAAGGAAGTCCATATCAATTGAGTATAATTATCAACCTAGTCTTTCCATCAGATCTATAAAACAAGAACTTCAGATACTCAAATATTTCCAGAATGTCATCAGATGGATGACAAGGAATAGGATGAACAAACAAAAAACTTGGCCTAGAGGAAAAATATAGAATTCAGTGAACAGAATAGACATTTACTATATAGTCTAATAAAAGGCTTTTATCTTCATAAAGCATACAAAATTTGTTACAAAAACAAGAAGAAATAATATCTGATATTAAAAATATAGTTTTGAATAACATTTATTTGAAGGGTGGCTAAATAAATTATTGGTCTAAATATTAACCTGTAATCAGAAATAAAAGTTGACAAATCTATTTCTAAATTATGTTCAAATTTAAATATAAGATAATACAAGAAATAAAAACACCTGGGCATTAGATTTTGAGGATTCAAGTTCTACCTAATAGGAATTCAGAGCTATTTAGCACAATGGCAGTAAGAAGGAAGAAACAAACAAAACTTGACAGAACAATACTTCCTGAGCTTTAATTTTTAAATGGAAGTCTTTGAAAAGGCCTATTGAAGGCAGAGCAAGAGAAATAAAGATTCATGCTAAGACACAACCATGTCCAATTCTAATATGGCAAGCATAAAGAATATTCTGAAAGCTCACAGACATGCAAGCATATACACACCTACACACACATACACACGGCAAACAAAGTGATGAGATTCATCCTAATGTTATATCAATTCTAAGGGCTAGAAAACAGTGCTTTAAAAGTTCTGACCAAAAATGATTATGAACAAGAAGTCCTATACACACATATGCTTGCATTAAGAAACAAAAATATGGGGATCCCTGGGTGGCGCAGCGGTTTAGCGCCTGCCTTTGGCCCAGGGCGTGATCCTGAAGACCCGGGATCGAATCCTACATCGGGCTCTCAGTGCATGGAGCCTGCTTCTCCCTCTGCCTATGTCTCTGCCTCTCTCTCTCTCACTGTGTGCCTATCATAAATAAATAAAATTAAAAAAAATATTTTCTGACAATGAAGTGTTGAAATATTATTACTCATGGTCTAGTTCTGGAAAATAAAAGCACTTAATGACTATTTCAATAAATTGTTTTTTAAAAATATATTAAAAAGATACCCTGAGGTGGAAGAAATAATTGTCATATCTTTGAGGATGATAGTAATCAAAAAGATGAACAAGTATTGGTCAAGATGCAGAAAAATTGGAACCCTCATGCATTGCTAGTGGGAACATACAATGGTGCAGCTGCTTTGGAAAAAAAGTTGGGCAACTCCTCAAAAAGTTAAACACAGATATACCGTATGACTCAGCAATTCCAGTTCTATGTATATGTCACCCTAAACTGAAAACATGTTTTTACATAAAAACTTGTATGCAAATGATCACAGCAGCATTATTCATTATAGCCAGAAAGGAGAAATAGCTGAAATGTCCAACAATTGATTTTGGATAGACAGAATGTGGTATGTCAATACAATGGCATATTAACCATAAACGTGAATAAAGTACTTATGGATGCTATAATATGATGAATCCTGAGAATATGGCAGCAAGTAAAAGAAGCCAGACAAAAAAGGCCACATATATGTACGATTCTTTCTATTGGAAATGTCCACAATAGAAAATTCATAGAATCATAGATCAAATTAGCTGATTACTGTGTAATTAGTGGATTAGTGGTTTCTAGGGGACAGATTAAGATAGAAATGGGGAGTGACTGCTAATGGATGTAGGGCTTCTTTTAGGGGTGA